GTCCACAGTCTCGAATACCTATTACTACGTCCTCCCCTCGGTTGTATTCCTTGGCATCATAGTCCCTACGTCCATAGACCCCCGTTACAGAGAATGGGAGGCGGAGTGGGAGCCAAGAGCGAACAAGGAGAAGGCAGTATTCAAACCGTCGCAGTGAAACACCATCAAATTTGATGATACGGACCGGGCGGACAGAGTTATTATCAGCCGGCTCAGGACAGGCCATATAGCCATCAACAGATACCTAAAAAGAATAGGAAAGATCGAAAGTGCCGAATGCGAATGCGGCAAAGAGGAGCAAAGTGTAACCCACATACTCACCGAATGCGATGAAACGGCCGAAACCCGCAAATCCTTTAAAGAACATAATACGGTTGTCAAACTCCTTTGGAAGGCAAGCGGTATTGAAGCAGCTACAAAAATTGGGATACAATTTGCCAAATGGAGACATGAAAGGAACGGACAAGACGAGAATGGAGAAGAGGAGAGAAGGGAACTAGGGTACGGGTGGGGGACGCTGAAAGATGCGGGAAACGAGGAATAGAATGAGAAAAGAGAGTTTGGGGGTGTTTTCCTATGTCAGAAATATGTGAGAGGAGGCGGAGGAGAAGGGATAGTTCAGGGGTATTGCCATCACTGTAAAGTTGCATGCAATTAATGAATTAAACAAAAAAAAAAAAAAAAAAAAGCAGCGGATCACCCGTGATCGGGTCCATGTTGAGCGAGATCAGCACCCCGCCGACGGTATAGTCGAGCGCCGTAAGGGGGATGATAGGCACAACAGGTGGCTCGCCGGGAGCTTTCTGGGTGGTGGGAGGGATGGAGCCACTCTCGTCGGAGACGGGGTTGGCGATGGAAGCGGCTGAAGTAGAGGCAGCGGAACCGTCGGTGTAGGTTGTGGGGTCCCCGGGAGGGTCTGTGAAGATGGGGAGTGAGTTGGTGGCTTGGTGAGGCATTTGCGAGATGGAGATGAGCGAGGATGATGGCGATGATAGAAGCGATGGATTGAGGCGTGTGGCGGTGATGATGACGGAGCTGTGAAGAGAGAGGGAAAAAGGAGAAGACGAGGAGGAAACAGGGCGGTTTAATAGCGAGTGCCAAGGCAAACTTAAGGTTTGAATGGGTGATTTTACCGACCTCAACTCTCCATTGAATGTGATGACGAGGCACGAAGCCTACAAAGGACACCTCACGTACTTTAGCAAGCTATGCGATATTAGAAATAGAGTGTGGTATTTCTAAAGATGATGGTAGTTAGCCAGGTATATGTAGTGTAGCGCGCAAATTTCTTCTCGGCCGCCTACCTTCCAGTGGTAGGTGCATATTGATATTCGGCCGCGGTTTGATCCAGGAGCTGAGGATAACTAAAGGAACACGCTTTGGTTATATATAGTAAATACAGACTGAGAATAAACACGTATGATACAGGAGGTTAAGCTTGTCCCCTTAGCGCGGTACCGATTCCAGATAGTAGAGACAGAGTTTGTGTACAGGTCTCGGGCCGGGGCCTGATACCTGGAAGGTTTGTAAAATAAATCCACCAATTAGGTCGGAACATTCCGTACCTCCAACCCTTACCCTGAGAACTTACTTGGTCTACACCCCCAGCTCCACCACCGACGGTTCCGACAACGCTGGTCTGGATAATTTCTTTCACCGACGCGTCTAGAAGGGTTGTTACTATTTCGGATACTCACCATTTTTAACATACAGCCAACTCGATACCTGAGCATCCAGTTCCGCTACCACGTATTTATGGTAAAAGATATTCCAGTTTTTCGTGAGATGCTGATATAAAGGAGACGAAAAATCTTGAAGTAGCTCGGTGGACATTTCTTCTGCAACTTCTCGCGATCTGTCCTTGTAGGTTCATTTTTATCTCATCCCCCTCCTCTGGCCTTCCAATTCCACGCCTCGTAGGTAACAATTATGCCCTTTTAATCAAGGCTTCGCGTGGAGCCTGCAGTTGTGGCCAGATATCGACTAACAGACTACTTCTCACAGCGGCAGGCTTCTATATGGCCAACGATGGGGGAAAGGACATATTTGCCGAATATCAACACACGCACGCTTCCGGCTATACAAACGGAGCCTTGCTGTTCAACCAGCAAGCTTACCGGAATGTGCAGGACCAAAATCGCAACCCAGCCCCGTATTGGCCTAATAGTTTCTGCCTCGAACTTTGGAGAATGTCAGGCCGGTATATTCAGGGAGGATTGGTGGGAGGATGGGTGAGCCGAGGAATTAAATAACAGAAGAGACTTGAGCTTCAAGAAGATAGAGTGTAGCGAATAACTAATTGTATTGATGATGAGGAGAAGAGGAGAAGAGCCGCTCTTCCCCGCTATAAGTATAATCTAGGCCACCTATCATGATGACAACATGTAGTAGCCCTGAAGCTAGGCTAGCCTCTTGTCATAGTAACAAGTACATAATTTACAATTAAAAGTACGTGCTGCCCCGCATGAAGAGAGATTACTACAGAAGCTATTCAACCTTCAATAAGATGTAGTAGTAAAGAGACTAACTGCGCTGCATCAACACGTGCTGTATGTCCGATGTTATTTCTTCTCAGCTACTAATCTCGCGGATCCACTTTATATATTGGCTCACTGTACTAAATAGATGCGGACCCTACCCGCAGCCCACGACACCCGGCTCTTGCTGTTATAAGTCATCCCCCCCAGTACCAGTCTTGCCAGACTCTGCGGGCCTTGCTTCTATCAGAACTCGATAATATTTATCCCAGAAAAGGACAAAACAGCCAGATCTTCCTTGGCGGCGTGGTGCATGGGGCAGGCATGTTGTCGTAGTGTGATGCTGGATGTCGAACATCTAGGAGGAGAGGGGGCTTCCTTCGACCAGACAGGGGTCCGGGTTGTGGAGCAAAGGCCGCTCCTGTCATGTCTTTCCTTTTATCTGTGAGCCTGTTCTCTTTCTTCTTCTTCTCTTCTTCTTCTCATCCTTATCATCATCACCAAGTACGACTGTGTATCTATCATCAATACAAGTCAACAGGGTACCGGCCTGCCCTCGACCTACTCTCTACTTTTGGCATGGGAGACTCGAGGTCGCCGGGAATCTGAAAATCAAACCTTTAGCAGGCCGTCTTTTGGTTGGTATTCTACGATCATTCTGAGGTGGGAAACAAGCAAAACCTATACTCTGGGGAAAGCACTCCCTGTCGTTTTGGAACTTTAGAGCCTTGTTGAACGATGTTGGGTGCAACAAAAAGCGCGCGGAGCGGCGTGAGACCAATCCCATAACCAAACTTAAGGGTTAGAAAGTTAGAAACAGAATGTCATCGTATCCAGGGATCGGAGATCATATCTTTGCCTTAGTGTCATAACTAATTGCTTGACTAAATTGATATAACAACACGCTAGACACCTATCAATTATCGAATGGTGCACTCGGTATGCCTGCAGATATATAATCTATGTAACGAACATAAAGGTTTTAGAACTGCAATATGAATTCTTGGAGCAGCCCACGACCGCCTGCCCGGCCTGCACTCGACAAATCCGGAGCGCGTAAGCAATCCGAATTTATCACCCTCCCTCTAAAAGGAACCTTCGAAAAAATCAGCCTACTTTCTATGAAATAGAAAAAAGAAAAAAAACAGCGCATGGTACAGGGGCATGGGTTAGGGTTTTTCCTACTGAGTTAGTAGATATGAGTCAGGCTTGGCATTTTATTTGTCGAGACGAGGAGTTGGCCTTCAAAGTGAAATAGTAAAAATTACCGAAAGAGTTTATTTGCTGGATTGATGAGGCTCGTAGCTTTAGAATATAGCTCACAAATAAATATCAAACGCTAATTATACACCCATACTAGAGATCTAGGTTCTCATCCCTTCATACAGAGTACTACCGATTTGATGCGATCCTTGTCGGATCCACCAATAGGATACTGGTTCTACTTCAAGACAATGGATCTAACCGCTGGGTAAAGTCTTGGACCAAATAGAAGAAAGATGGCACTGACACCTTCTAAGCGCAAAAGCGCCGGCAGGAACAAGATTACTACAATCGCGTGGAACCCAATCGAGGAAATGCCCCACCAGCTGCATCGGCTACCCACCTCAGATACAAGCCGCATATATCCATATACATTGTTCCTATTGTACAAGGTTGCCTTCTCCAGATACCCAAGTTTATCCTTGGGAATATTCCAGCGATGACGCGAGTACAGGCATCACCCAATTGCTTTGCACAGCTCGAAGCTCGCGAATGGGAGTGATGATCAGACGCTCTATTGATTGCGGGAGATTATACGTTCCCCTAATTGGCATCAGCAGCTATGTGTAGCGTGGTACAAGTGCCAGGCTGATCAGCCGCTAACAGGAAAGACGACGTCCGTGCCGGATGATTGCATGCGGAAAGGTGCTGCCAACGCTTAATTCAACCTCACGAGAGTTTTAGTAGATTTATCTAAACGAGGAAATTGTTCCATTCAGCGATTACCATAGCTTAACCTACTCACCGGTGATGCCGTCGATGCTCATGAGCTCTTGGTATCACAGCTGTGTGGTAGGTTGAAAAACCCAGGTGCTTTACCCCTCTCTCCCGAAGAACTTCAGCCTTCTGCGTCCCTTTTCGAGGTGCTACTAACTTTGTGTGCAATGTGATAGAAGGTAGACAGACCGACACAAACCTCTAGTGACAATCGATTCGCAGGGTTGATAGGAAGAAGATGACTGTAGCCTGGGGGAGGAAAATGGGACTATCACTAATCAACTACCACCATTCAGTTCCTACTCCCCATCCCATTCACATCATCCGACCACGTTCTCTCATCGTCATAACCCCTATACCACTAATGCGCAGCTGCTTCCACAAAAAAGCGTCGGCGCGTGTCTCCCCAAGCTCCAACGTGTCAAATGAAGGGAGGTGATGACTTCTTGCGGCTGGCCAGCTATATATACACAATTTAACCTCGAAAAAATAAGCAGCAGCTCAAGCCCACAGTACCTCAAGTTTATCTAACGTAGCAATGTGTTAGAATAGACACTCCGTGCGGTCTATTCCTCCCCACCTTATACTTGTGTCTCGGGTGCCTACGCCTAAAGCAGGTGTTCCAGCAATGATGATAGGCGAATATGCAGGCCTAGTTGCACGCGTTTCTGCCGGGGGAGTGAGATTGCGAGGAGCTATTTTTGTGTGAGGAGTCTCTTGTACGTGAAAAGTTGGATATGGATGGGCTCACTATGTAGCCCTGTTGCCTGTCGAGCCCAATCTATTTTAGTGGTGGGCTCGAGACAAGGCAAGACTGAGGTAATCGGAGTTGGGGCCGGATTGCCATTTTGATACACAGGTATTGACATGACGGCCATGGAATAGGTATCTATTTTTTCTAGTGCTCTTGTGGTCTGTACCTGTCGGGATTGTTGCGATATGTACAGGAAAGCCCACGACCACCAGAAGAGCTAAGGATAAAGTGGACAGGGTTAGGGTTATCCGAAGTTGTATAAAGCTCCCAAGAAAAACCAATCTTGTATATACCTATGGTAATCCTCAAAATCGAAGGAAAGTGACTCCCGTCTTTTCTTGAAGACACTCCCTAAAGTGGAACTATTTTAGTAATAAGTGTTTGGTGTTCTTATTCGAGGCCGGACATAGCAACGGACCTTGACAAGCAATTTTATAGTTGTGACCTTTTACAACCTCGGCACTGCTTACCAGAGCGAAAAGCCCCGACTGATCGGTTAAATTAACGGTAAAAGACTACGATGCCACGGCCCACCCCTGTATATATCTCCAATGCCACAGCACAACCCAACGCCGTGAAATGCCACAGCACAACCAAGTGAAGTACAATCTATATTCTCAGTTTCTTGAAGCAATAACTAATCATATGCCTAGTAGTAAGACCTCTACTTTAAGGAACTGCGAACTCAACCCCAAACCTGCGACCTCGAACGTATGCGACCCTGCAATCCTGCGACCCTACGACCTTGAGGTTGGGGGGAAGGGGGGTATTCATGGTAATCTCACGCTATTCATGGGGTGTAGCACAGGTGGCCGAATTGTGCTCTAGGTTCCCACAAGTTTGGCAACGGTAATTGCGGGATGCATCAGGTTGATTGGGGATAGCACCTGCCCGCTGTTCTACCTGTGCTCTTTGCCTTGCCTCCCCTATACGAACTCTGGCTTTCCGTGGTCGACCTCTGAGAATTAAGGTGATTGGAGGGAAAATACCGGGTGCAGTGGGAAGGTGTTCAATGTTGACGGGCTTTAGGTTCTGTTCCAGGTTATAGGTTGCTTGCCATGTCTCGAGAGATAATATATTTGGCAGATAATGTTCTAGTGGCCTGTCGTTGAGTTCCATAATCCAGGCAATTGCATGCCCACAAGGTATCCCGTTCTCTTGAAACTTTCTGCAAGTGCATGTCCTTGTAACTAAGTCTACAAAATAGACATTCCCGTTTGCCTGTTGGATCCGTGCTGTAGTTGGGGTTGAAGGGAATACTATGTTGGTACGGGCCCATGGTCGTTCCAGAGAAAGTTGATGAAGACAGAATTTGGTGAATCTGGCCCGCTGAAGTTCCTTGATAGCTGATTGTGCTCTCTTATAGCGTTCCGTCATCAATTTAGTCCAAATTGAATCTAGAAGATGAATTGTGGATAGTTCTCGATCAATTTTTAAGGTATGATTTGTAGACTCCACAATATTTGAAGTATCATGACCATATCGCTGACCTGGAAAATGTGCTGCTGCTCAGAGTTGTGGATCAATTTCTTGTAAATATGCTTCTGCAGCTGGCTTTGCCGTCTGAATCTCTTGCATTACCAACTCAAAACTGTCGATATCTTTTGCTCTTGCAATTTTCCAAAACAAGCTCTCTAACGCTCGACCAAATTTCGTGGTGAAATTTTCTTTCAAGTGTTGACAACAGTAAGCACGAGTAACTGTTGGTGGTAATACTCTGTCGGCTAACAAAAGACCTTTATCTCTATCACTGATAATTGTTGTAGCTTCGCTATCGATTTCAGGAGTAGAAGTTCGGAGGTGAAGATAGAAATACTCCCAAGAATCATTGCTTTCTGCTTCCACAACCGCCCATGCCAGTAAAAGATTATGTCCATTTGCGTCGATTGTAACAGCAAGCAGTAAGGTTTGCCGGAATCTGCTTTTGAGGAACGTACCATCAACTGCAATAAAATGTCTGCATGATCGGAATGACTCTCGTGATTGTGCAGGACAAATAAAAATCCGCCGGAACCGTCCAGTCTCTTGATTGATTGACACATGTACATGTGCGGTAGGGTTTTCAGCGTGTAGTCGTTCAACATAAGCAGGTATTTGTGCAAATGCTTGACGGTGTTCTTGTATTCCATCTGATAGAACACCTTTTTTGGCACGTAGAGCCACCTGATAGTTGATAACTTCGCCAAATTGTAGACGCATACAATCGATGATTTCCTGTGGTCGGGTCTCCTTGGTAATCACCAAATGATCGGGTAGCACTTCCTGAATCCAATCCTGCCTACTTGCCGCACCTCTTTTCTCCACCATTTGTAGCCCTATACAGTTATGTTCGGTTACTAGAACTGTTACCTTGACGTCGCCTTCCTCAGTCCTGTTAGCTCTGACCCTCCATGGGCATTCCGCTACTCTACAGCAGTAGATACCCCTACTAGAGTCCTTCTTTTGTACCCTAAAAGAGAACTTCTCGCGTACAGACCAATCCATCAATACCTTTTTTAGGTCGTCAAAAGTCAAAAAATGCTGGCCTAATACAGGGGCATTCTGAAGTTCTGGCATGGCGGATCAGTTGGTGATGGTGAAAGTGGGAATGATGGTAGGAGAAATTTTTTTACTCTGTGGCATTTCACGGCGTTGGGTTGTGCTGTGGCATTGGAGATATATACAGGGGTGCGCCGTGGCATCGTAGTCTTTTACCGTTAAATTAAACTTCATCCTACAGCCTTTCGGCTTACCTAATTCTCTTGCTAAAATACCACGACGGTTAATTATCAGGGGCAAAGGTTAATAGTTATCTTTTCCTGCCAGTATTATAGCTAATGAGTTGACTGAATAAAGCACCATTATCTTTGTTTATGGCGAAAACGGTGGATATTGTATTATAATGATCCACAATCACACGTGCTCAAGTCCGCGTATACGCGTGCCCAAGTGACAAAGCCTCAGGATTTCTCCTCTTTCCCATCCTAAATGTGTTGGACCGGACAAGCCCCGATTCCGCTGTGTACGCCGATGGGATAATCTCCCGAGCAGAATTGGCAGCATAGATAGATAACCTTCCCCCCATCCGATTGTGCCATTTCCTTCTAATCGGCCTCCATTATATACACTTAATCTTGTCTCTACTACGAGTGGAAATGCATCAATTATCAGATTTCCCGTACAAAAGCTTGGGAAAAGGTATAGTTCTAGGCTATAAATCATGGGAAGGCGCGGCGTAGCAACCTCCTGGGCCACCACGACTACCCACCCAGCAACCACAATTGATCCTTTGGAGAGCTGAATTTTTGTATAGTTGTTAAATAGTAGATAAATAACAATAATTTGACATTGAATATCTTGTGTACCAACCCGCCGTGAAAAGGTTGTGGAAATCTGGTTGCGCCTGACCCTCACGACTGGCATCGTACTGTACCACTTATAGTTACAGAGGCCCCAGGGTGTCAAGAAATAGAAGGAGAACTGCATATATCGGCTGAGGATGCTATCTTGAATACCCCCACAACCCGTGCTGCATCGACCCAGGACCTCGAGCAGCGGAGAGGATCGATCAGTGTAGCCCTACTCTCCTATATATTACTACAGCTAGACAGGGCTGGTGTATGCCATAATCTCGTGGAGTATACGGTTTTGTCAACCCCCAGCTGCTGTAGTCAATGCCTGTCGACAGATGATCAGTGGATGGCCTTGGAGGTTTCATTGGTAAATCAACTTAAAGGAAGGTATTTGGAGTTACGGTATCTCTTCTGGAAACTGAGTCATTATTTCCCCATTGAATAATGGACCTGTATCTAATACTATCGTGATCGTCAGCTGGAGGTTGTAAACGTGGACAGCTGTCAAGTCCAAGAAACCAGCCTGCAAAGCATGGCATCGAAAGCCCCGATCCCCACGGCCAACTTAAGAGTGCTTCGGCAACCGCCTGAACAAGATCTCACCATACGTCTGGTGAACGAGTAAGAAGCCTGATGTGAGCAGTGATCCTTAAAAGGAGTGCAAAATTCAAACGAGAAAGAGAGATACAGAGGGGTTATTGCAAGTCGACCATTGTGTTACAGGAACTACGGAACACTGTTCTAGAGGCTCCGGATAGTGAGGAATACGAGTGATGGGTTGTGATGCGAGGACGGTCGGGTAATGGAAGGACAAGCATAGGAAGGTATCGGGTAGTGTGGGGGCACGCGGTGCTACCACACTAGTACTATACTATTATGACGGCACGCTTACTATTGGGTGTCTCACCCGAAATAGAATAGGAAGCGGGGCTTACGGCTGTAGGCTGTTCTACTTAGGGAAGTAGGTCTAGGATAATAGTATGGTACAGCCCGATGACTGGCAATTGCAAGGTTCATGGTTACGTGTCGGAATTGGAATGGAGGACGGAACTATGCGGGGGCGCTTTTCTATCTGGGTTATCTTCGGGAGCATTATCTTATTCTATTATTGTTGTATCAGTTAGTATTAGAAAGCGGGCCTTGGCATAGGTTTCAACATGTATAAATAGGGCTCGATTCTGCGAAGACTTGAGGGTATCATCAAACCATCAAGTCAAGGGAATCCGGTTTACAATATCATCAGTTTAAACGCTACAGAATTATCGCTTAGCACTGGCTATTTCCCCAAACACATTGACACTAGACAGGAATCATATCCTTCTGCACTCCTTGCCCGGTAACTACAATGACGGAGATATTCAACACGGAGAAGACGGGGACTGAATAAGTAAGGCCATATTTTCACTGGCGCTCAAAATGAGAGTTTTCTATTTGCATAGGGAGCGGATGAAAGAAGAAATCTCGGTTTCTTAGCTAAAACATTAGTCTTCAGCCAACTTAGCGAATCAGATCACAAATTATCACTAGCCTCCATCTTATTCGTGTATTTAATTCCAATGTCAAACCTTTTTTTGCCCATTACTGTAGTGCGTCGTATGTGCCCAACCCTTACGAATAGTTTCATGGGCCAACCCCCGCCCACCAATGACCGGAGCCGTACCTCCGCCGAGAGCAGCGTGTTTGAGAATGGGTGCTCACCTAGGAGGAGCGATTTCGCCCGATATTCAATACACACAGCCGCCCCTGCACACTAGAGTCCAGAGGGCATGCTACAACAAGTGCAATACCTATTCTCCCTACCACTACTCACCCTTTTTATAAGCCGCTGAACCACAGTTTACTCTTTTCCTCCCAGACTTGGAAACTGTCAACCATAAATCATCATTTTCACAACATCATCCTTCACAGAGATAAACTCTATCTCTACTTCCTCAAAGATGTCTGACAATCAAACAACATCACCTGCACCCGATGCAAACCTTCCTCATGGAGCGAACAACCTTGGTACCGAAGGGCAGTTAGAAGTCTACCACGATGCTCGGGAGAATATTCTCACTGCTCCTCCTACCCCATCATCCAGCAGTATGACCACTCCCCTGGGAACTGGTCAGGGCAATATGGTTCAGACTGATCTCCTATCCCCCCAGTTCAACGTTCCTGTTCCCGAAGCCAATACCACTCAACAAGACAACCAAGTTCTCACGGAAAATGACCAAAATTTGGAAGAGAATAACCCCACTATTTCACGTGCTCCACCACCCAGCGGCACTTCCACCCCCATCAGGAATGCTCAGCGTGGCATGCTTCAGATTGATCTCTTCTTCTCCCGTCTGAATGCTCCAGTTCCCGAAGACATCACCGACGATGAAGATAACGATGAAGATTACGATGAAGACGACGATGAAGACAGCGAGGACGAGTGGGAAGTTGATACCATCCCAGTGGCACCTCCCTACTGCGAAAGTGGCTCTGATGCCGACGACTCCGATGATGACTGCGATGATGACAATACATGCAACATCTGCTACCATCGTAAATCCACCGTATCATTCCCCACTTGCACACACAAAATGTGCCCGAGCTGCACCAAACAATACTGGTGGGCCCTCCTGCTTGACAAAAATCACTGGCCTATGGAGATTCCTTGCCCATTCTGCAGAAGAATGATCAGCGCGGTTGTTGAAAGCGACAAGACGAATGTTCAGCTTGTCAGGTGGATTATCAATTCGAGCACTAGTGCTCTAAAGAGGTTGAGGAACGCTAATAACCACTTCGCCCATCCAATTCTTATGGGGGTTTGGATTTACGGATAGTAAGTACTTCCCGAATTCAGATATATGGCAATGAGATAATCCTAATTTTCCTCGCTATATAGTCGTCTCGAAACCGCTCGTTCCCGCAATTGGACATGCTGTTTCCTCGCCTTCGGTTTTCTCCTTGGCATTCTCTGGGCATACAACATAAACTTGAATAACGCACGGGAATCGCTCTGAATAAGAATCCAAATACTCTTCAGCCATCCATTCAGCTTCGATGTTTTTTTCTGTAATATCACCTTCTGGTCATTGGTAGGCCCAAGTCACTATCCAAACTTCTAGTCCTGACTTACTAACTATAATGCAGGATAGTTCGATGGGAGTTATAGACTAAAGGTCACGAGAATGGATGGATTGTCTGCGGTTTGGGGGGATTGTGTGAGAGATCAGGATGGCTTGTGGAAAGAAGATTTGATCCTATGAGTTAGATTTAAGATCTAGAGAGATTAGTATGGCTTGTAGAAATAACATCTGTTTCTCTCATGAAAGTTTACTATCTCTTTGTATCTAAAAGGTCGATATTCATAACATTCATGATATTATTCCACTAAAATGCCATTGAATTATATTTATCGTGAATATCGTCATGTGCCTCCATATTCCATAGAACATCACCAGTACATGCTCTCGTATTTTAAAATTCTCATTATATCTCAACCAACAATTGTAGGAATGAGTGCTCAAGTGTGGGGTGTGGAAGCCAAACCAACATTGACATCTTCCATGTGAAACGAGGCTATACATATCACTATCCCAACACCTTGCAGAAATGGCGACATAGAAAACATTAATGAATCGGAGCCGAATGTAATTCCTTATTTAGAAAAAGAATTAGAACCACGGAGCAATTAGATCGAGGTCTAAAGAGGTCTTGTCAGCTAAACTATGTACATATCCTACATGTTATTGATATGCATCGAAAGATACGAGTGATTGAATATGACCGCATATAAAGAGGAACCATCCACATAATAATAATGATAGCTGACCATCCTTAGGACTTGGGAAAGCTACGTTCAAATTATCGCCTAACGAATCAATAAGTGCAGGATCAAACTCTAAGATCTAGAGCAACCACGAATTCAACACTAACATTTTCTTATGAGAGACTAGCGAGATGGGTACACAGCTTCATGAGTGACAGAAGAGTCAACCTAAGGTTTGACGGAGAAATGGGACAAGAGCATATGGTGGAGACATGAATACCGCAAGGAAGCCCTGCATCACCAATTCTCTTCAACCTTTATATCGCCCCCCTCAAAGAAGTCAACAAGCTGGTTGAACAGGAATTCGAAGGAAAAGCAATCACACCCACCTTCATCGATGATTTCAGAATTGCGGTAGCCGGGAAAAATTGGGGACAAGCAATATCAAGGGCAGAAAGAATGATAGAAGTTGCCTATAAATGTGCAGAAGACAACCATGTCAGATTCGAGGAGGATAAAATGGAGTGGATCAGGCTGGGAAAAGATAACGAAGAAGAAGAGGAAATAGAAATGACAGGAGGAGAGGGGAAAAGCGAGAAACAGGAACTAAAATGGCTAGGCATCTGGATAGATAACAAACTGACGTTTAAAAACCATGTAAGGGAAAAGACGGCTAGGGCATTCAGAGCTGCACAGAGTGTGATAAGCTTAGGGAAAGGGATAAGAGGAATGGGGGTCGGAAATACGAGAAAGTTTTATATTGCATGTTCCAGGCAAATTGCGGAATACGGCGGAAAAGTGTGGTGGAAGGGACAATAGGGACTGGCAGCGAAAATCGACAAAGTCAATATACAAGCAATGAGAAGAATCGGAGGACACTTTAAATAAGCCCCTACAGCGGCAATAGAGGTGGAAAATGATATGATACCCACAGAACACAGATTCAACCATAAAGAACGAATGCAGGCAATAAAAGGACTAAAGCGCGCACCAAACCACCCTGCCTACAAGGTGGTCAAAAATGCGATCAGCGAGCTCATCGAAGAAGAAGACACATGGTGTGCAGGGAGAAGAAGGGGGCAAGAGAGAAGATGGGGAATGAAAGGAGCAGTTAAAAATCTGGCAAAAATAGTAGGAAAAGACTGGAAGAAAATTGAAAACTGGAAAAGCTACTATGAAAAGGAAAGAACATGGGAAAGAAAGGCGAGGGAAGAGATTGAGATAGACATCAGACCATATGATGAAAAGGGAATGGAAAAAAAAGAGGCAGGAGGAAAGAAGAGAACAGGAAGGAGAGATCGTCATGTATAGCGATGGAAGCAAGACAAAAGAAGGCGTAGCAGCGGGAATATGCAGTATATAAAACGATGGAGGAGTATTGAAGAAGATCGGCTACAGACTGGGGAAAAAGATGGAAATCATGGACGTGGAAATGGTGGGGATCAAGAAAGCCATCGAAGTCAGACTGAAAGAGGCAGCAAAGGAAAGAAAAAAGACGATTACGATCAGATGCGACAGCCAGGAGGTGATGAGACGAGTAAAACGCAGACATCAGGCATCTGGAGAAATGATTGCCCACAAGATACGCTACTGGTATGATTCGGGAAAGACACAAAAGATCGGAATAAGATTAGAATGGGTCAAAGGACACAGCAAGATAAAAGGAAATTTGGAAGCAGACAAAGCAGCCAAAGAGGCCATTAATAAAGGAAGAGTCGATAACGAATGGTTTATTTCTTTTGTATTCTTAGAGAGAGAATCCTCAGAGGAAACAATAAGAGAATGGGAGGCGGAGTGCGAACCAAGAGCGAACAAGAAAAAGGCGGTATTCAAACCATCGCAGCGAAATACCATTAAATTCGACGATACGGACCGGACAGACAGAGTCATCATCAGGCGCCTCAGGACAGGCCACATAGCCATCAACAGATACCTAAAAAGAATAGGAAAGATCGAAAGCGCCGAATGCCAATGCGGTAAAGGGGATCAAAGTGTGACCCACATACTCACCGAATGCGATGCAATGGCCGAAACCCGCAAAACCTTTAAAGAGCATAATATGTTTGTCATACTCCTTTGGAAGGCAAGCGGTTTTGAACCAGGTATAAAAATTTGGAAGCAATTTGACAAATGGAGAAGTGAGAGGAACGGACAAAATGAGAATGGAGAAGAGGAGAGAAGGGAACTAGGGTACAGGTGGTGGATGCTGAAAGACGTGGGAAACGAGGAATAGAATAAGAAAAGAGCTCGGGGGCGGTTATTTCCTATGTCAGAAATATGTGAGAGGAGGCGGAGGAGAAGGGATAGTTCAGGGGTATTGTCATAACTGTAAAGTTGCATGCAATCAATGAATTAAACAAAAAAAAAAAAAAAAAAACTAACATTTTCTTACAAAAAGCGAGTGATATATCATGACTAGTCCAACTACAAACCCTCCATCAGTTAGTCAGAAAAGCCTTCTATGCTCGGTGGAAGAGAATGGCCAAATTAGCTCAAAATCCAGGAAATAACTGAAGCATAGCCCAGTCTATTCTCTAATCCTGGTGCTTTCGCGCCTAAAACACACTACCTGATAACTAGATTGAATTCAAACGGAAATTGAAACAAACTGATGAAAGATACTCCCGAAGCTTGGTAGGTAGAAAAGAGAAAAAAGGGAAAGAACATACACCAAAAACAGCTCCGAGGTCATTGATGCAACCCGAATATCATGTAAACTTATTGATCACTCTCTTGGGCCATTGTGATATAGATACTTAATCCTAGACCCAAGCTTAGTTTCACGCATCGAGTACTTGTGTGGTTTCTGATATCCATAACACAAGTTAGCTCGAGCCTATGAGCAAGCGTATGCTCACCACTGTCATATATCAAGGCAATGATCGACCGAAAATAACCCTTTCAGCGCCGCAAGACTTCCGGAACGTACTCCATGAGGTGGTAGATTTGAGAGCCTTCTCTTTGTGTAGCTCGTTGCTATATTCCTCAGGTCCTAAGACCGCTAGCCTAAAAATCTCAGCGCTATCGATATCAGAGAGGAATCCTATTAGGGGGCTTCGCCCAGAATCGGGATCAGTGAGGAGAGATACCACCGGATTTAGAGCTATAAAAGGCTAACGCGCTAGCCTTTCGCCTATATATGCAGTTGGACTTCTCAAACACTTCGTTAGGGTAACCTTGGGCTTCTCCCAGACCAGTTAATTACTAGCTCCCGTGGGGTGATGGCGCGCCTGGTTGACGACCCTTAACATACAGAGTAATACTAAAAGTGGGCTAAATATTATAAATATCGTATTGCTCCACTTAAGCGGAAGTTTACATAATACTTTGGATCGAATTAACCCACCCATCTGGTCATTTCAAGAACACCCTCTAACTTTCGCCCATACTCACTCTACAACGCAGTTTTGATATGTTCAATTGTGTGACTATCAGCTAGTGAGACAAATGGACGCGCGGTGATAGAGCAAATGTGGAACTACATGCACACAGAACTAGGAGGATGAGGACGGAAATGGAACAACCGGCCTAGCTGGTGGTGAGATATCAATTATCTAATTTTATTCACATGTTGGAGATCTTATCGCGCTGTCTGTTAGTTAAGCTTGAGGTAACTCTACAAACGACCGTTTCTATACATATATTCCATACTCAAAAGATGTTTACGTGTAATTGATGACCGACAGTAATTATCCCTTAAACCGTCAGGCCGAATTACAATGGGAGACACTTAAACCCTTTTCGGAAACACGATATGTAGGATCAACGCCTAGAGACTTGAAGTTGTAGTCTTCATCATGCGTGGTAGGTTGCAAGATCCAGCGCTACTTATATCATGATTACCATAAAGGGTTTAAGTGTCTCGTTGCAATTCAGCCTGGCAGTTTAAGGGATAGTTTACCTGCTCAGAAACCCTAACCCTGAGTGAGATATCTTTTGGACAGATTTTGAGCCACGTTATCGTATTACCGAACCAAACCACGGTTTTATAGTCTGATAATTATACTTATTGAAATAGCTGCAAGTAGCTAGACTCCAGACGTTTAATAAACCATCCTTGCTTAATTTGGGGTGATCTCCGCCTTCAAGGTGACAGCTACATGTAGCTAATAAAACAGAAAGCCACTCAGCTAGTGAGCATGTTCAGCAAAAAGAGTATTAATGCGTAGCACTACTATAGCTAGTACTCTGATCATCAGTGGAATACACCTTCTTACTTTCCGTAGGGCAACGCATACAGGTTCGTTCCAG